TTTATTCAACAATGTCAAATGAAATCATCTCTGCCAAACTATATTTTAGAATGGATACCTTTTGAGCAATTTGAAAAAATAACAAAATTGACTGAAGGTGGATTTAGTTCAATTTTTACTGCAGTATGGACAAGAGGAAGTATTGATGATTATGATGAAAATAAAAAGGAATTTAGTTATTTAGAAAGGCAAGTAGTAGTATTAAAAAGTTTAAATAATTCAAGTAATCCAGGAAAAAGCTTTTTTGATGAGGTTGGTAGTTGTTGTTTATAAAAATAAGCAATACTGTATTATAAAATACTAATTAATTTTATTTATTTTCAGGAGTGAATTATTGTAAAATTAAATCACCATCAATTGTTAGGTGTTTCGGTATAACTAAATTCCCAGAAAGTGGAAATTATGCAATTGTTTTAAATTATCATTCAGAAGGAAATTTAAGGGATTATTTACAAAAAAATCATTTAAAGTTAGCATTAAAAGACAGAATTACTATCTTTGATGCTTTATGTTATGCATTAAATGATATACATCAGAAAGATTTAATTCATTGTGATTTACATAGTGGTAATATATTACTGCAAGGAGGTGTTTGTTATATTACAGATTTAGGATTATGTGGACCGGTTGATGAAAAGTCATTAAATAAAGTCTATGGAATTGTATCATATATTGCACCAGAGTTACTTGGAGGCAATAATAGAAAGAATACCAAAGAATCTGATATCTATAGTATTGGAATGTTAATGTGGGAAATATTTGCAGGTCATCCACCATTTGATAATAGAGCTCACAATCATCGTTTGATTTTTGATATATGTGAAGGTTTACGACCACCAATATTACCTGGAAGGCCTGATGATTATGTGCAAATGATGCAGAAGTGTTGGGATGTGGATCCATCAAAAAGACCAACTAGTAGAGAGCTTTATGATTTTTCTGAAAACAAACTTAACTTAATTATTAATAAAAATAAAAGTTTGAAAAATAATAATAGTCTGATAAAAAGATTACTCAAATTTTCTAAAATCAAAAAACATGAAATCAATTTTAATAATGATGGTAGTGTTTCTCAACAAGCACATAAATCACATTCAGATGCATATCATACAAGTAGAATATTAGATGAAGAGATTGCTAAATCTAAAAGCTTTAAAATTTATACAAGTAATGATAGTTCGTTAAATGATCTTGATTTTAATTCTTTTCTCTAAAATGTTAACAAAGGTAAATAAAAATTTCATTATAATTAATTGGAAATTACTATCTATTAAATTATTACTAACAATATTAATTAATCTAGTATTGTAGTAAAATAGTAAAAGAAAAGTGACTAATTTAATTTCCATTATAAATTTATTATCTTCTTTTTATTTATCTTTTTATTATCTTTATTTTGTTCTTATAATAATATTTCCTATAATAAATTTTCCAAGTTCTGTGATTCTTGTTAAATGGTGACATTACAAGATACCATTCCTCTTAATTAACAATTATGACCTAACTTCTGGGCTACTCTTGTCAGTTAATAATTCGGTGTTTGTCAATTAATTAGTTTACAAATTCCTTCTTTCTTCTTACATCTAGACGAATCTGTAGGCACACTTGATGGTCCCAGATAACTGTAATTAAATAAAGATGGCCTTTTGCAATGCTATAAGTTCCTTTTATTCACTTATGATCGATTTGTTTCAGTCGTTTGCTGACTGATTGCAAACTTGCTTTGGTTTACTTACAAAACAACTCAAGTAGCTTGTTTAATAGCCTTACATTTATGATTACAATAATACCACCAGT